TATTGGGCTTGGACCTAATCCCAGAAAAAAGCGAAGCAGACAGTGCCACGCCGTGATTACGGCAGACAGCAGCCGCAACATTAATTCTTTGGATTTTGGCTTGGATTTTTTCCTCGTTTTGGATGCCAACTTTTTATCGCGACGGCAAATTAACAGTGCTACAAATCAGTATGGAACCCGAGTGTATCTCTCCTGCTCAGTGAAGAGAGAGAGAGAGAGAGAGTGAGGGAGAAATGTTTCAGGCCTCTTTGCTCTTTTCAACGAACTTTTTATTAAAACATAAATCATGCACATTATTTCCTCAGCTCGGAATTGTCTGCCATATATATGTACATATATGTATATGTATTTCGCGTATATAAAATTTCAATCTGCTTTCCACCCACTTTTTATAGGCACTTTTTTGTATTATTAAATTACTTTGTGGGCTGCTCGTGCTGCTGCCTGCTGCCTGCTGCCTGCTTCCTGCTGTATTTTCTCTGTCAATTAAGCAATTTCCACAATTTATTTCGCACAGCAAAAACAACACTGCAATATCACCAGAACAGCAACAACAACAAACAAAAACAAAAAAAAACAAGGACCATCCGCAGGCGAGATAGAGACAGAGATGGATAGATGGATGGGTAGAGAGACAGAGACAGAGAGAGAGCGAGAGCGTCGACAGCAGGGGTGTGGCAGGAGGTTCGTATTTAATTTTATAGATATTTATTTGTTGTATTTGTTATTGTTAAGTTTTGTGGCGCGAAAAGCGTGGTGGGAAATTTGAAAAACGGGTAACGATCGCCGACAGACTGGCAGGCAGGCCGCGCGGCCGCGCGACGACGAAAAAGAACGAGAGAGCAGAGGACGACGACGACAAAGGACCAACGAGGGACAACGACACAACGCGCTCGCTCGCGTCTGTTCCGTGCGGTGCGTCTCGGGTTTGCGACTGCAGCAGCTGGCGTTGGGAGCGTAACTGAACGTGCCCCAAACGACGACGACGACCGCCAGCTGCCTGGCCTGGCCTGCCTGGCCTGGCCCCACAGTCACGAGAGCAGGAGTATCCACAGCATGCGGCTGCCCCTGCCGCTTTGGGGAGCTTTCAAAACATCCGCATGGCAGAGCTTTTTGGGGCCACCAGGCCGCTGTGGCACGCAAGCTTTCTACACGCCACGCCACGCCACGCTGTTCTGTCCCGTCACGTGGCAGCACGCGGAAAGCGGAAAGCGGAAAGCGACGAGCAAAACAAATGTCGGGGAAAACCCCTCGTGATGGACGCCAACTGCGATGGCAACTCGAGTGTGTGGAACGTGCCTAATGAGCTTCAATTTTCACTTTTCACTTTTCACCTTTCTCAGTTTTCCTTTTGCTGATTTCCTTAAGTTGCTTTTCCAGAGCAGAGCAGAGCGGAGCAGAGCGGGCGGGCGAGGCCAAAGACAGATGCAACACCATCGAGCATAAATCTGTGATTAATCTGAACGATCTGCAGGGTATTTGTATGCATATACATATGTACATACATACATACATACATACATACATTCATATGTACATAGTGTAACTATTTATATACATAAGCATGTACATGCATACGTTTGTCTATTTTTTAAGTAGCTTTAAAGTGTTTTTTTTTTTTTTTAAAATTTCGAAACTATTAAAAAATATTTAAAATTTTTAAATCTATTTTTTTTTTAGGTTTTAAGTTAAGTATTTTGTAATTAAAATTGTTGTTGACATTTTTCAATCTGGTATTTTTTAAACGTAGTATATATATTTTTTAAAATTTTATTATATTTAATTTTAGTATATTCAGTATATATGGTATTTTTTAATTGTATTTTAGTATTTTATAACTAGGCTCATTTCAAATTTATAACATACATACATATGCAAGTATCTATGCATGTATTTTTTTTCATTTGGTATTTTTTAATTTAAACGCAAGCCCAATTAATTTTCAAGTTCCAATGCCCAAGGGGTGCAAAAAAATTCGAATCCATTCGCCCAATGCCTGCGTCTGGTACGTGCCATCATTTGTGTGCCATGGGGCTGGCTTTTTGGGCTGTCGCTGGGCTGGTCCGTGGGCTGGCAATGTCAGAAATGAATAATGTCCAAGTCCAAAGCCAAAGCCAAAGCCAAGGCACCTGACGGTACAAGTGGGCTAAGGGGGATGCAGCTCGCACCCCGTGCGGGTGTGGGGGGGATGAGTTGGGTTAAGGGGTTAAGGGTTAACCAAAGTAGTTGATCAAGGCTGCTGCTCCAGCCTCCTCCTCCTCCTCCTCCTCCTCCCCCCCCCTCATCCATCTGTTTCATCTTTAGCCACAAAGTCAACCTTCTGCTTGGCTTTGAATCCGCGACCATTTAGCATATTTCATTGCAAGTGCCACCACACCCCTCTCTCCCCCCCCTAGACCCTCAAGACCACCGCCAACATATTTTCACATGAAAAATCATCTGGGTGAAATGAATGGCGGGCGGAGAGAGCCGCCGCCAGACCCCGCCATGAGATGAATGGGAAAAGTCATTGCCAAAAGGCCGCTTTGCTTTTTTCTTTTGCTTTTGCCCTCCTCTGTTGCCTTCCCTCTTGGCCCCTCTTAGCACGCCCCTTGGCCCTATTTTTGTGCATAGTTTTCCCCTCTTTGATTTAATGCCTAATAAGCAATTTTCACTGCTTTGCCACTGTGGGCACTGAAACTTTTGCTGTCAATGCAAAGTCAATTGAAAGATTCACACAAATGATGTACGAAAAAGTTGCCAAAAAGTTGTTCAGTTATTTGGTTCGAACTGGGGAAAACTCCGAACTGTGTGAAAAGTGAAAACTCAGCAACAGGCCAAAGCCAAAGGCAAAGCCAGAGCCAGAGCCAGAGCCTAAGCCTGTAAGGGACATAACTTTGCTGTCCCATCATGTGCCATGTTCGAAGTGCTGTGGCAAGCGGCTCTGTTTTTGTTGGGGGGGGGTTTCTGTTCTGAAATGATTTATGAGACAGCTGTGCGAAGGGCTGGGGTAGCAAATATTTCAAAGCTTTCGTTAAAGCTTAAGAAAGCTTTACTAACGGTTTGGTTTGGTTTTGGTTTTGGTTTGATCTGGATAAACAACTTGAGGAGCTTTTAGGCGTGTTTCCTTTTAGCTTTTTTCGAGATTTATTGAAAGCTGCCTAAGCTTAAGCTTGGAGCTTTTGTGGGGAACTTATCCAAAAGCTTGGTGAAACTTTCAAACTGACAAATCGAAAGCCTCAAAAAAGCCTCAAAAAAGGCTCGATGGGATTTTGAAACTGAAGATATGCAATTTTTATATATTCGCCATGTAGCCAGGCAGTGTGTGTATGTTTAACGGGTACTCGCATTAATTTGAATGAGTTCCCAAATTCAATTCACACGTAGACATTCCCCCCCGCTGCCCTGTGGCATTCATTTGTGCTCCCATTCTAATTCAATTTTATTCATTTGGCTCTGAGTGCATTCAGGCTGACTTGCAGCATAAATTTACATGCGAAGTGGCCAGGATTTCGTTGAAAATATTCCATTCCCCCCCACGTTATGGCTGGCCCAGACTTAGGCGAAGCATCTGCATACGAGAGCGAAGGGGAGCATCAGCACTGGAATGCGTAGCTGCTATTTTGCCTTCCCCTTTGCTGCTGCTGCTGCTGCTGCTTGTTTCCATGTCACTAAACTTGCATTTTCTTTGGCAGCAAGAACCCCTCAGCCAAGGCAGCCGCGCTAATTGCACAGCTAAGCGGAGGGAACACACACAGAGAGAGAGAGAAGAACACTGGCTGGCAATTATGGGGGTTGGAATCAGATCAACTCCCTCGCATCTATGGCTCTTGGGCAATTCCTTGTTTTGCTATTCCTTTGGCGACATGCAGGGAGGGGTGGGGGTAACGGGAACATCTTATTGCATGCGACACTGGAAATGCATTTGCCATGAGTCGCATCAGTCGCCGTTTCCCGCCTCCCATTATCAGCATCAGCATCATCATTGGGTGCGGGTGCGGGTGCGGGTGGGTGTGCCCTGGCACTTGTCTGCCGCATTTCTATTTCCATCGTCTTGGCAACATCCTTTTGCAGGCTTCCTTACGCACACGAAGAAAGGAGAGCCTTCCGCTTGCGTAGGTGTTTGGCTTGTGGGCATCTTTTGGCCTTAGTTTGCGCCATTTTTCTTCATCTTTTGTGCTGCTGCTGCTGCTGCTGCGGCGACGCTGATGAATTCGTTAGACGCGCCAAGCCCCGTCCTCATGCCACAGTTTCCAGCCACATCCTTGCAGCACTCCTGCCGCACCTTTGGGGCAATCGTTGCGCAGGTTGTAAACAACAAGCAGCAGCAGCAGCAACAGCAGCAGAAAAAATAAGAAAGCTGGCAGCAGCAGCATTAAGGGCGGGGGCGCGTGGCGAGTGGCGACTACGACTGGCTGATACCCTGTAAGTATTTCTACTTCTCTGGCAGATCAATTAAATAACTTGCAAAATAAATGAAAAATCGTTGACACTTTGATGGCAAGTCTTGCAGCGCCTGCCGATGGATCGCTTGCATTTTTGTTGTTGTTTAATTTATTTTCTATCTTCGCGCGTCAAGCAGCAGCGCACCTCGGTTGGCAGCTTCGACTGGCTGTTTCCCCCAGGCATTTGCTGGTGGCTGGATCATAATTGATGTTTAATTGGCCCCCCTCGAAACTCTCCGCTGCCGTTGCCATTGTCCCATATGCCCCACCCAAGCGCTATGAGTACGGGACATAAAAACCGCAATAAGTGAGCATTTCAGTGTCGCATCCTTGACGTCAGCAGCAGGCAGGCAGTCAGGCAGGCAGTCAGGCGGCAACCGCTGGGGAAATGCAAGCTGGTGACAGACCGCAGGAGAAAGCAGCAGCAGCAGTGGAAGGAAAGGCAAGGAAATCCGACAGCACACCCACACCCATACCAATACCCTGACATTTCATCTGGGAGCGAAGGAGCCGGGGAGAGAGAGAGGGGGGAGAAATCTTTAAAGCTGCTTTGCTCTGCCTTTCAACTCGGAATCAGTAGCTGACTCTGACTCTGTCGCTGACTCTGAATCAGTATCTGGGAATCTTTTGTGTGCGAGTTTGAGCTATAAAATTCTATTCGAAAATGAACTTGAAAATGTTGCAGCTGCCTCAGCTGCCTCAGCTGCTGCAGCTGCTTGTGTGGCTCTGCTGTGTGCTGCCGCTGGCTGCCCCGGCACGCTGGCAGCCAGAGTCCACATGCAATTTGATGACCAAGTCCTTGATGGATCTGTACGGGCAGCTGAAGCTGCGCCCCCTATTGGGGGGCGATCAGAAGTTCCTGAAGGACACCAGTGGCGCCCTCATGCAGTTTCAGCTGTGTGCCGATCCGTCGGTATGCTTCTCGGACAGGCAGAACATCCTCGTGAAGGACGAGGACGATGAGGAGTATGAGGATACGGCCGCAGACGATGATAATGATGATGATAATAAATGCGAGCACGACAACGATGAAGAGGAGGAGGAGCCTGAGGAAGAGCAGGGGGAGGACCAGGAGCAGGACCAGGATCTGGATGATGATGATGATGATGATGGATCCTTTATGGAGCGGGTATCCTGCATCATAAAGGGCCTGCACGAGAGCTCCCGAGCCATTGCCGATGACCTGAAGGACTTGGAAGCGCAGCTGCAGGGACGACTGGAGAAGCAGAAGCAGGATGCAGGCCAGGACACCGAATCAGCTGGCGCTGACGAAGAGGAGCAGACGACGCCAGACGAGTGCACGAATCAGCAGTCAGCGGAAGAGGAGGGGCAAGGGGAAGGGCAAGGGCAAGGGGAAGGTGAAGTGGACAAGTCCACAGAAGAGTGTGAGAAGTGCGAGGAGGATGCCGGGGGAGAGCCGCAGCAGAAGGACGACTCCGAGGAGGAGCAGCAGCAGGAAGACGAGTGCGAAGTGGAGCCAAAAGAAGTGCCCGAAAAGATACCCGACATGGATCCCCCTCCCAACTCGCAGAAGTGCCCCCTCACAATGGCCGAGGACGATGACGATGAGGCAGCCGAACCAGAGAACGACTATGACAACGACATGGACAACGACAACGACATGGACATGGATATGGATATGGACACCGACATGGATATGGATATGGATATGGAAATGGAACCCGATGCCGAGCCCGAGCAGTCGGATATGTATCCGCTGCTGCAGCTGCTGAAGTACGAGCAGCAGCCCCTGCAGTCCGCCAAGGCCAGCCCCTGCCTGGCCCAGAAGCTCTGCGGTGAGAGCTCCCTGTGGGACGATGACCTTGCCATGGAGGGGCACTGCCACGGCAGCGCCGACCCCGACGACTGCCTGGATTCGGATTGGGAAACTGATCTGTATAATTTTTACTGCTGATCACCCAACCCAACCCCCACACCCACACCCACACCTGTTTAATTGTTAATTGTTTGTGTTGATTTTGTTTCTGTTTTCGATTTAAATTAAATAAAAATGTTTATTTCGTAGTTCTGGTTTGGCAGCAAGCGGGTAAAACCCATTGAATGTAGCTCCAATAAATGCAAATGCCAGACGGAAATTATGTGGCTGCTGCTGTCAATGGAAAGCGTATTTAATTTCATTGTTTAAATGCAAAGTTGGCAACATTTGATGGGCATCGAGTAGCCCAAATGTCCCTGGCCTGGACCACCCATTGCCTTGAAGTTCGCTGTGAGTGGCTAGGGGAACACACGAGCTGTCTGCCATCAAAACGATTTAATTTTCGAGTCAAAAGATCAATTTAGCCCCCCTGCCACTGCACTGCACGGCACTGACTTTGCGACTTCTGTGTGGCACTCCTGCTGCTCCTGCTCCTGCTCCTCCTTCTGCTCCTCCTCCTGCTGCTGCTGCTGCCCTTGCAGGAGGAGCCCCTGTTTGTGGTCAAAACGTAATCAAATCACAGCTGGCAAAAGCAGCCCAAAACTGATGGAAAACTTCTGCCTGAATGGCAGTCATATTGTGGGCTGCAGCTCGCATTCCTTCTGTCCATTTTTGGCCATTTTGGGCGCCACTCCATTTCAGTTTTGTGGCTTTCGTATGACAGTGTGTGTGTGTGTGTGTGTGTGTGTGTGTGTGTGTGTGTGTGCGCCTCAAAGCCTTCAATTTTCAAACAAAAACAAAAACAAAATCGATTCTGATTTCAGGTTTCAGCTGCCCCGGCAGTCTGCTGGGTGTGTCCTGTGTGTCCTGTGTGTGTGTGTGCATTTGATGTCCTTTCGGCAACAATTATGTCCTTAAATGTGAGTTAAATGTTTATGGGGCCTTCCACTTTTCTCGCACTCGAAGGCCCATCTTTCCTTCCTTCCTTCTCCTTCCTGTCCTGGCCCTATGCTGGCCCTGTCTTGGCTCTGTGCTGGCCCTATCCTGGCCCTGTCCTGGCCCTATCCTGGCCCTATCCTGGCCCTGTCTTGGCCCTGTGCTGGCCCTGTCCTCGCCCTGTCCTGGCTCTGGATTCTCTTGTGATTTTTTTCTGCTGATTAAAGGCGAAAATCTCTTTGTCTTTGGTGCCTTTTGTTCCGCCAGAGGATTGTCTTGCTGCCGTTGTCGCCTTCGTTTCTCTGTTGGAATCATTTGCCTTTAATTCCTTTAATTCGTTTAATTTTTGCCTAAGCGGCCGTGTGGCGCGTATACTTGATGCGTGTGGCATGTGTGAAAGCCGCAGCTTCAAATGCCAGGCCCTGCCTCTGGCCCCGCAGCTGAATTATGAATGAACGAAAGGTGGAAACAGAAAAGCGCTGCAGATGCCCCAACTGCTGCCAACTGCTGCCAACTGCTGCCTCCTGCTGCCAACTGCTGCCTCCTTCTGCCTCCTGCTGCCTCCTGCTGCACTTTGCTGCACTCGTGTCTCCCGCAAGGTCAGCAAAAAGGTACTCTAGGCACTGATGGGGCGGCTGGGGGCCTGCTGCTGCTGCTGCTGCTGCTCTGAACTTGAACTTTTGTCAGACCGAAAACAGATGCTTCTCGCGCGCTGTCTGGCTAAGTCGGCTTTAATTATGGCATACAACACTTTGGCACACAGGCGCAGACCTCTCCTCGGGAAGTGCAGGGGAGAACAGAGCAGCACGGCGGGAAGGGCTGGGAGCCCAGAAGGGCTCACTGAGAAAAGACGACTCAGAGTTGGGGCAGTGGCGGTGGCCTCCTCCGTTGAGCAATTAAACGCGAGGCTACAAATTCTTCACACGCGCCCCGCACATAAATTCAAGCCCCGCAACATGGAGGAACGATGGGGGGGGGAGACGACACTCGAGCAAGCAAAACACAAAGAGAGCAGAGAGGGAGAGAGCAGAGAGGGCAGAGGGCAGAGAAATTCTTGCATATTTTTTTAAGGGCACATATTTTGTGCTATTTATTTAAGGGAAAACTTTTGCTTTCGCCAATGAAATATGACGCTTGCTTCGCAGCTACCTTTGCCAGTCCACCCCTGGCACAAGGAGCTGGCAGTGGAGAGACATAATCATATTCATGACAATATAATGGCATCGTTAGATGGGAGGCTCGAGAGGAGAGCAGAGCAGAGCAGAGCCAGTCGAGTGGAAGTCCTAGGCAACCACAGAAGTCGCTCTCGCTTTCGCTTTCGCTTTCATTTTCATATGGCAGATACCCTGCACGGAGATCGAAAGTGCCTTCAGCTGCTGCTGCTGTGAGTCACAACTTTCCATTGGCCTCATGCAGTTGGAAAAACCTTTGAGACTAGATCCATATACTGCACAGTTCCCAAAGAATCATAGAACACAAGGTCATCCATCATCTGTTGTTGGGCTCTTTGAACACCTGGCTTGCATTCAATTTTCAAGGGTATCCAGCCGCTCGACTCCATGGCTTGGCCTTCTGTCCAGCGCCAACGGCTGTCCATTAGCCAGTCAGCGAGCATAAAAAAGATAGAGAGAGAGAGAGAGAGAGAGAGAGGAGGCGAGAGAGTGGGGGCGCTGTGGGGGCAGCTGGAAGTCCCTTTCCCCATTTGAACTTCATAAATTCATGAAGCTGCCCCACTGGCGCATTAATCAGTACACAGAGAAGAAGCGAAAGAGAAATAGGAAAACGCAACGAGAGGATGGAAATTATCAAGTTTCCACGCTTCTGTTTTCCCCGTTGCTCAAATTGATTTCATTACGGCAGAGAAAAGATTTATCATACTCTTTAATCCCCCTGCACTTGCTGGATAATTGCCAACAATTGCAGAAGACAACAAAATGAATTTGGCATTTGTCTTGTGGGCAGGCATACAGATAATGTCATTCGATCTGTCTGGCTTGAGGATGCAGATGAAACTAAACGGAATGTCCATCCATAATTTCTGTAGGTTTGTGCTGTCAAATTGCTTTTCAGCGGGCAACTGCATCTTTGCAGTGCAATCAATTGCAAATTTAATATTGAGTGAGTACGAATTTCCAGGAATCCAAGGATACATAAATGAATGTATCCCATTCTCTGCCATGTGGGCGAATTTAATTAAAACAGAGATACAAAATTCGCAGAATTATCATGGCATAGAAATTCTTTGAGCTCGAATTCCAAGAGATACAACATACCAAAGGGATACAAAATTCCCAGAACTATCATGGGATATCATGGAATTCTTGGAGCTCGAAGTCCAAGCGACAAAGGGGGCAATGTGCGTAGACTAATAAATAAAATCGATGCAGTTGAAGGATCCTCTTAGTGTTTCCTCCTACTTTGAATGTTGAATGTTTACTCAAAAATGTTGTTAATCTTTTTTCGAATTGTTTAAGGGGTTCTCAACCATTTAGAAGAGTTTCATCAAGTTCAATTTCATTAAAGCACCCAATTTTCTCGTTGGCTTTTTCTGGTTTCCATTTACCCAAGAACCTTTTCAAGGCAACAATTTTGACTCATAAATCATCTATTATTTATACTATATATTTATATATTAAGAACGTTGTTACATATACGAACAAAACAACTAAATATTTATGCTAATGAAACAGTCGTTTTGGCTCATTGAACACCTGGCTTTCCAGGAGCAATGCGCTTTTCGCTGCATAGTTTTGGGATGCCAACTCGAGCTCCATGTGACTTGCCTCTTACAGGTTTACAGGCAAGAGCTCCAGCCAGCAGAGAAGTCTCCTTCCATTTCATACTTAATTCATACAATAATTTCAATGGAATATTAACATAAATTAGACTTACCGAATGCTGCTCATTTATTGATTCATTGATTCATTGTTTTTTTTTTTAATTATGTATTTATTTTGTTTGTTCAAAATTTGGTTTTTGGTTTTGGGTTTATTTTTTTTTATTTTGTTGCGGGGATTGTGACACATATACACATACATATATACATACATATACATATATATTTGGTTGGGGTGTGTACGTTGTGTGTGTGTGTGTGTGTGTGTGTGTGTGTGTGTGTGTGTGTTGTGTGTTGTGCGTGGTTGGGGGAGGGAATAGAAGAGAGAAAAATAAGAAAATAATTTTTTATATATTTATCAAATGATTGCACATTAAATTTGTGATGAGATTTCTTTTGAATCTTTTGCTTCTTTGCTTTCATGATGTATGAAATGGGGCTTGTGTCTTAGTGTGTGTGTCTCTATGTTTGTGTACTGTCTGTGTGTGTGTGTGTGTGTGTGTGTGTGTGTGTGTGGCATGCGAGCGGAGGATAAGACATATAGATATATGTATATGCTAAGAGAAAGAAAAGGGACAGCAGCTACAAGCGAGTAATATTCCAAAGAAAAAAGAAAAGAACCACAAACGATGGAAAACTTCTATATCTAAGACTTACCTGGGAATCAAAAGTCACACGGAAAACCCCCAAAAAAAAAAATAGAAAATCAAATAAAGGCAGGTGGAGCTAGGGATGATGGAGTGGGGGGAGTGGGAGATAGAATATCTAGTATTAGAGTAAAAGTTGATGGAGAGATATGTACCTAGAGATAGTGGGGGTAGTGGATGGCAGCCGTAGGGTGCGCTGCGGTGCATCTTTCCGCCCCACTTTGGCCCCAGTTAAATGCTGACATCTATTGATTTTGACAATAAAATACATGCGTTCCGCGGCGAGCAGAGCCTTGCAGCCTTGCGGGGGCTGCCCCGTCGAAAGGGCTGAAGGACAACAAACCTTATTTGATTGTTCCCCGCGCCGGCCCTACTATGCGCTAAGCCTGTTGCCAGCCAAAGCGAATGTCACGTTTCGTTTTTATTTCAATTTGCAATGCGAAGCCCCCACTCCACGGCGAGGCAATGGCTGTGGCTGGGGTGGTGGAAGGTGGAAGGTGGAAGGTGTGAGGGGGGAGGAAGCACACTACAAATCTGATTCTAAACTCAATCAAGCATGTCAGGCCCCTCCGGTGCTGGTAGCCGGTACGGTTACGCCATGCCCCGAGACCACGACCACGACCACCAGCACCAACACGTGCCTGCCGCT